CCTGGTATAATCTGAGATTATACACTCACACATTTGCTGTGAAATCTTAGAAAGACTGAGGAATTTACTGAGGTTAAAATTGGATATATACAAGCAAGAAAACCCTCAGGAAAAAGGGGTAAGGAACCACAACACTTCACTTTGCATGGCTTGATGAACCTTGGACCATCTGCCTGCAGCATAAGTCTCAATTAAATAATAACCTTAATACTTGATACATGATTTTAGCCTACAGTGACAATGACATCTAGCCATGGTTATTTAGAAGAACACGTGTGTGAATGAGGTGATAACTGGATCGGGAACAGACTGACAGATGCTCGTTCACCCTGCTACAAATGCAAAGTGAAGTAGTTCCTTGACTAATAAGATTGATTCTTGTGCATTTCTGACTTTAACACTAAAAATAACCCTCATTCACCAATTCAACATCCATTTTTTAAACCTACAACAGCCTTCATAATATGCATTTGTAGATATAAAGTGCAAAAATAGTAAGAATAGGACGTGAATAACATGAGCATGTTTTCTGTATAAATTGTACTTTGAGGATTTGTGCAAAAATGTTGCTTGTCACATTTTAACAGACAATTACAGTCAGAAAATTTAAATGTCACTGTTGTTTAAGGACAAACCTTTTATGGTGAGCAAGCTGTAGCGGCTGTTTTACATAAAGAGAGCAGCAACAGATCAACAGACACACATGCACACATTAAGGATTGATGTAGCTGCCATAAGAGGTCCATACTGGTTTGTTATGTAGTCTGAGTCATTAGCAAGAACTGAAACAAATGAGGGCAGTAGTAGTTTGAAAAGGAGGGAAAAAAAGACTAACGTGGAATAACTAATAAAAATTCACAGTTTAAACACATACAATACTCGTTTGTGTGCCATCATTGATACGAGGTTTGCTGATTAGTAAATAGACTTTAAAACACTAATGGTTGTTAAATAATTACAACATAGCACAAAAAAATTAATTAAATAAAAAACAAATGTACAATCAAGCTGTCCAACATTATAAAGGTTGAGTTTAAATGTTGTCACTGGAAAAATTGTAGCATACTCTAAATGATAATTATGTCTAGAGACATTTGTGCTGTGTGTAACTGAAGCCCTTGATCAATAAAACTTGGGGTAGTTAGTGCTACTATTACCGTTTACGCTTCGTTAAAGTATCTTCTCTTCTATTTTCCAAATGGTACAAATGTTTGGAAAAAAAAATCCTTTGCAGTTTATGTATTAAACACATCTCAGACAATTACAGCTGTAATTTATGACTTTAGTTCATAAATTCAGAATAACTCAAAATAAAGACCCTTCATGTGGAATAAATATGAACGAACCCTCTGAAGCTACAGAGTAATACCCAAATAACAGTACTGTGGCTTTTTAGGTCAATTTCTTCATATGAACATATAAACACGCACACACACTCACGCACACAAAATTATCACACCTTGTGTTGACTCAACAGTCGGCAGAAAGAGCACATGGAATAAATCTTCACAGTCGTAGGTCTTCTGCTTAGCGCTGTGTGATGTTTTGTGGAAGTATAATTGGTGTGCAAGCAATCCCAGCAAAGGATTCTGGAAAATGCAAATCCCTCTCCCACTCATCTGTCCCCGTGTTGTACACCTGAACGATACTTGTGACATTGTTCAGGTGCCAGTTGTAACCTCCGACGATGTAAATCTTCCCGTCTAGAAGGCAGCAGCCCGCTTCAGACTGGCCGGCCCTCATAGGACTGGCCGTGGTCCACTGGTCGTTCTCTGGAATGTAATACTCGACTGCTAGCACATCAAAACAACGGTCAACATGGTCCATGCGGCCGCCCAGGGCGTAAACCCGATCCCTGGTGCTGATCATGGTGTGCAGCACTCTGGGTTCATTCATGGGAGCTCTGAAGTCCCATTGGTCTGTCGCTGGATCGTAGCAGTGAAGAGTTTTCTTGTCATCCAATGAGACGCCGTATCCTCCTGAGATATACAGCTTCTCTTGACAGGAAGTCCCCGCATGACCCCAAATCCGGCGTTTTAATGGTTCCACATATGACCACTCATTCTTCTTTGGGCAGTAACACTCTACAGATGACAGGCTGCCAGATCGATTGCGCCCTCCAGTGGCGTACAGCAGTCCGTTCAGCACATTTAGCTGAAACTGGATACGAGCCTCCTGCATGAGTGGAATGCGCAACCATTGGTTCAGATGTGGATCGTAGCGGAAACAGCTGTCCACCGCCCCCTCGCCACTACGGTACTGTAAGTGTTGTCCGCCGACGACGTAGACAAAGTTGTCTAGTACGGCAACACAAGCATGGCTGCACCCCGTCTCCATCTCCGTAAGCTCTTTGAACTGACGGGATGCGACATCTGGAAGATAGTACACCTTTGTAGTGACTGTGCGATCGTTGTCGGTGTAGGGCGTCCCACCAAAGGTGATGAGTGACATGACGTCAGAGCGAATGAGTGTCCGTGAGGACTGCATTTCATGCTGTCGGAAGGGAAGGATCTGGTAATTGAAGGCCTCGAGGAGATACTGGCGACACTGAACATCCTCCACCATGATGTCCACTCTCTGAATGCTGTCCACCAACTCTGAAGAGCGCATGAGGGGGAACCGCACGTGGCAGAGGACGCTGCTGGCTTGAG